ACGACAAAAAATAGCAAGTTGAATCTCAGCATCTGGACAATGATCTTTTCTCAATATTCCTTCATACAATGCAGAACTGAACCTTACTGTTTATTTGGGATATTCAGAAGATCACATTAAATCCTCCACATTTCTAAAAGAAACCCTAAAACAGTGTTCGTTAGTTAATATTTACGTAGTGGACATGTCCATTCTCTCATCTTCTTTATGGGCATACGTCAGGCTCGTGTGCTTATGTCCGTTTGATTAGATGCACATATCTTTTCGGACCACGTTTAAGTAAAACAGTCCGTTTGTTCTAAGGTATTTTTAATGATTTATGAACATTTGGAGCTATACAAATGGAACTTTTTGAGAGTATTCTGATAATTTGCTCTATATTTTGCATGTTTTCATCAAATTAGTATCAGAAACCCTTATTCCAGTTCGTGACAGTTTTTAAAATGAATGCTTCATCTCAAATACCAGTGATGTTTCTGTGAATTTAATGAAAACTACTAGTTCGATTTTCTGTTTCAACTGCGCTCTTCAGCATGCTTAGCCAGCTGGAAGTCATGCCAAAAGCATCACTTGCAGCTGGCTAAGCATGCTGAAGTTATACAGACAATATCTAGAACTTCTTGTACTAAATTCGTTTCTGAAATTTGTATGACCAAATATTTTTTTCAGCTGATGACTCACCCCACGTTGTTCTGAATCTTGTGTCAATTTGTGATGCAAAATCAACAAACATATTATTTCTAATGGAATCAATCGTTGAGAGTAATTAAAAAAATATGGAAGTTAAAAAAAATAGTAAAACGACAGGCATTACTTATTGCTAAGATTCAGTGTGCAGATGATCAGCAACAACTTCACCACTGACAATGTTTCTAACTTTTTCAACCTTTAAGACTGATTTCAAGTTCCCTACCCTTTCCTCTATCTACCGCTATCGGCAATTCATTAATCTTCAGCTTATTGCACCAGTCATAACTGCAACAACAAAGATCAGTATATGTTGTGTCGTTTACCATAAAAGTACCACATTTGTGCCTGAGACCATATTTGTTTAAGAATTTGCCTTTCAGATTTTCAATTAATGTCTGAAAAGATCCATAGTTCATCAATATATAAAAAATAGAGAATCCTTTTCGATGTCCGTTTACTCTATATTTGGATGCAAAATCACTCCAATAGGATCTACGAGATATGAGTACAATACCCAATTTACCTTACAGTAACCTCGCCGCTCGCAACTTCGCTGATGATCTCTTGTTTCGCTCGGAGTTTCCAATGAATAATCTTCTAACAAAAAACAGAAATCACTCGCACCACAAATTTCATACTGTTCATCGAAATACGAAGAATAGCATACTAAACTGTCCGTTGGCTTCATTATATCTAACGTTAGAACGACCTCAAAAAGGTGGTTATCACTACTAAAAAACAAAACTTTTATTGATAAGTGTTCAGACTTTGCTCATAAAAAGTTTAAATTTTAAATCAAAAAATTGCTGAGAATGACAAAACATCAGAATCAACAAGGAAACCTATTGTTTGTCAAAAGAAAGCCGTGAATAAATATGTTAATTTGGTTATGGAAAATCCAATTTAAAGTTCCAAACATTTTTAAAAACAGAAATCCAAAACTCACAACAACGAAACCAGAAAAACTGGAGAAAACAGCCATATTACTTGCCAGTAAAAACACAAGTACATTATTTACAGTAAAATAATTGAAAGAAATTTGCATAATTACATCATAGAAGTGCAGTATTAGGCAACGAAAAGCAAGGACTTGTAAATCTCCGTCTAACCGCGTCCTAAAGTTTGAAATATATTCATTTGCAAATCCAGAATAATACACTATTTAAGTTAATAGAACTAACACTTTGAATAAAAGGCAAGTTAACATTTCAACTGAAATTAATCTGCAACTTAAGGTTATGACATCCGTTTACCGACACGCAAAGGAATAAAACAAGAACTTCAAGACAACACCAAAACATGAACCAATCACAAATGCAAGTCTATTGCCACCAATCCCATCTAAACTATATACCGCGCGTAGTTTTAACGCACCCCTAATGCTGCTTAATTTCTTAAGAATCATTAATTACTTGAATATACATTTGAAAAAATTGCAGAACCAACTGTAATTTATGCAACAGAATCAGAATATTTGAATAAAAACATCAGAAAATTGAAACTCACCACTTTTTACCATTCAAGTTATATGAATCGTTTCTTGTAAATCAGTAGATTTTTTTAGTGGCACAAATGAACACATCGTTTCCCCAAAAATTAATATTCAGTTTCAGTTAAAAAACTTCAACTGATTGCCCCAAAACACAAGAATATTAAAGGAAATGTGAGATCAACAATGAGAATAAAGCTACTCTATACAACTGCAAACTGTGCATAAACAATATCTCTAATTCTATAATAATCTTCACATGCACAGCCTTCTACATGAAAACGACCAGCTTCGTTACGTCGAATACTAGCAATATTGTTGATATATAATACACCTGAACTGAATTCAGCTCGAAAACCATTCGAAGTTAGTAACTGCTTCACGTCAGAAAGTTTAGGGTCATTCACAAATACTGCCTACAATGAAGGAATTACAGTTTAGAACTTTTGATATTTTTGAACACATAAATTAAAATATCTTCTTAAATCTAAAACAGTTCAAGAGGAATTGATATTTAATTGCTTCTGTTTCATCTTTTAAACAACTTTGTCAGATTTTAAACTTGAGATAATGTTAATATGTGTAAGACTGAAGTAATCGATAATACGAAAACAAAAGACCTGATGACACGGAATATTAGCAGAAAGCACGGGCTCCAGACAAAATGTATCCGCAGATGCAGCTTTCAAATTACTCATACGCATTGCTTCGCATGGTTCTACATCTTGCTCCATCTGTTTTAGCTCATCCTCAGTACTTTTCACTGGTTCCGCATTTTCATCTTTCCCTTCTAAACTTTGCATATGTAGCGGTGTCATCATTTTTCTTCTCAATATTCTTGCATCCAACCAACTCAACTCAGCGTCTTTTACCTGCAATGTATAATATTACAAATATTAGCGTAAGAATTCTATGATCAAAAAAACAGAATTTTTTTGGAGTTCATAATCAGGGACAATTCAACATCTTCAACTGCATTTCACATAATCTCATAAATAAGGTAATATGAGACTGAAAAAATTATTTGTAAACCAGAAGTAAGAAAAAGAATATGAAACTTTAACCGTCTGGAAAATAAGTGATGACATAACGGCGTCACTTAGTGTCACTTGATAAATATGAGACTCAATTGTTGCATCAACAATTTCGCCCAAGCGAGGCGTAAATATCTTACCCTATAAAAGAATTAAATTTGTTTTTTTCAATTAGAAAATATCATTATTGTCAGTACAGACTTCATGGTGTCAAAATAAACACTTCAGCAGGCATAAATGAAGGCATAATTAAAGGCTGAAATCAAATAAATGCTATAACCAAGAGATTAAAATCACTTATATCAAGGCTCACATATTGGAATGCCCACTCACAATTTTAATCTCGTGCAACGTATGAAATATATCACAAAGGATAAACTTATCACCTGCACAATTCCATTTTGTTGAGCATACTGCGCAAGATGTCTGGTAGCTGCTGAAGAACCATGAACAATTATTAACTGCTTGGGTTTTATCTGCGACAAAATTTTTTTTACCGATTCCCCATCGCTACGTCCTTCAAAATCAATGAAATCCACTTTGCAAAATACCTGTAAAAACATCTAAATTACGAAAATGTCTTGCACACAAAATGATTATTGTTAGTTTTTTTCTCAGACCACAGCATCAACAAGAAATAATTTATCATAAACTTACGAATCTGTTGTCCGGAAAAGCTATAAAATGTAGAAAGTAACCAATCAATTAAAATGTAATCAGACATTTTTACCCTATTCAAAGGGGTTTAAACATGACATCACCGAAAATATGTCTTTTCAGCACTTTCAAACGTTTAGTATCGCAAATTAATAGATAAAATTCTGTTTAAAATGATTTATATTTACATAGTAGTCAAAAAGGAACTAAAAGCAAAACACAGGAGTAATGTATATGTATAAATGTAGACGTACATATTTTGTTATCAAATAATTCATAGTTCAACGTAAAAATAAAGAATGTATTATTTAATAATGAAATATTATTGAAATTCATAAAAGTGAATAAGCACAGTTGTAACGGAATACATACACTGAGCAAGCTATAAATATGAATTACTGATTGCTTTTAAGACTGAAACTACCTCCATTTTCATGATCTGACTGACACATTTCGATGGCCATTCCCTTTCTTCATAAACTGGTACCAGTTGTCCATCTGTAGAAACATCAGCGTTTTCTTTATGATCAATAGGGATTTGAGGTACTACAGGAGTATCCGTAACCATGTATTCCTCGGGCCGTATGATCTCACCATAATCGTCCCACTAAGCAAAAATAATTTTAATCTATTAACATTTACTGCAAACTGCTCTTGTATAATCTAAAGCTAAAGCTTTTATTTGCAATTTAAATAAAAAATGAAATACGAAGCGGGAGGGAGAAGAAAAAAACAACACTAGTATTATTTTTAAAAAAAGCAACACACTCGTGTCTTCTCTTCGATATATGGAAATATTGGAAACGATTTTTTGCTTTGTTTGAAAAATGAAGACTTTTGTTGTTGCTCCCATTTCCACATGATATCGTGCGACCGCTGCTCTGCTATCTGCGCAACCGATAAATCTGCTGGAAGTGCAATTCATCAACAATGCACGAACAATTTTTAAAATTTCTATCAAGAAAGCGGAAATATACAAGAATACTTTACTCATTTTTTAATGTTACATCATTTAGATGCAACATAATTTAAAATGTTATTGATGTTCATCATTTACATCACTCAGATGTATTTTAAATATTAGAGAGAGAATGCAGATTAACAGTGTTTTGAAACAGGTTTAACTACAAGATTTATTTGCACCACTAAGCATTCATATGGGAAATAATTTTATAAGGACTAAAACCCGTCGCAGAAGTCGTAGTCGAAGAGTTGTTAAGAGTTGAAGTGGCAGTACGCTTTGAACTACAAAGCACATTAGGTATTTTGTTATTTGATGGTCCATATAACTGCAGAGGAACGATTAAAACGGGATCCTCGTCACTGTCATCAGATGAATCTGCCTGCTCCAACCTGGCATTTCGTCGCGAAGCTTCTAGTCTGAAAGTATTTCATATGGATTATTTTAGCAATAAATATTAACTCACTGTTACCATCAAAATAACAGATGTGAGCTTTATTAATTCAATTATTGACAAAATGAAAAACATATGGATAGGAATTTAACTCTGATATAGGTGAATGTTAGCTACAGATTCCTGTAATAAAAACTGCCCAACTTGTTTATTGTTTTATGTTTATACCATAAAGCTCACATCTAAACATAAAAAAATTTCGAGAGGTACACATATTACAGACTTGGTATCAATTATTTAACATAAACAGGTTTATTTCAAGCAAAAGAATAATTATAAGTCTTTTTTACCGCAATCGAGTTGCTTCACGTTCTTCTGCTCGTTTTTTCGCTCTATAACTTTCTAATTCAGCACCTTCTAAACGAATTCTACGCTTTACTTCCAATGTCAAATTACGATTGATAGAACCAGTAGGATTTTCCGCTGCTTGCTCAGCCATTCGTATCAATCGAGCTCCAAGAGTACGGTCCCCAGAGCGTCCTAAATGAAGCATTATTGCTCCGTCATCTTCAAAACTCCTAATACATGAAATCTTCACCTAAAATTAAAGTAAAAAAATGCTACCAGTTACAATAACTGAATTTTTCATGTCCGTACACCAATCTAAAAATAGTTCTCTCGAAAAACCACTTTCCATATCCAGACCACTGACAAGTACAACCTAAGAAAAGAAATTTTACATTATGGTATGCATCTTACCAAATCCAATTAGGAATTCATTAATAAAGTAAATTGAGAAACGTCGAGAAATTTCATAAAACTGTATTGATGAAAAAAAATTGAGAACTGAGTTAGAACTCTGGAATACAATACAAGACCTTTGGACTTCGCACACGTATTAAATCCAAAAGAGTATGACAAAGTTGGACATGTCGAAACTGAAACGGATTATAGCGACCAACTTCAAATGACTTCAAAACTTTATCGGACATCCACTCTACTTGCGATTTTGCAAACTCAACAACTGATGATGCAACATGACTGAGCATCACCAAATTATATGTCATTAAACCCGCCTCAGCGCTAAAAATAACTGAGTAATTATTGAAATTTAATTTGGAAATAATTTTGTGAGAGAATATTTTCTTTAACCATTCATTTCTTCCATAAATTCATAAATTTGCAACTAAAACTGTGGAAAAGGGTTAAAATTTCTCTGAATGTATCAAGAAGAAACATCATGTCAACAACAAATATGATGAGTAACATTAAGATTTGTTACTGACAGGCAATTTTTGAAAACGGTAAAAATATATATTCAAATCAAACTAAAATTTTCGAAATTTCAAGAACATATCTTTACCAGTCAAATGCTACATAAACAAACACATAATCAAATGCTACATAAACAGACTCATAAATTTTTTATCAAATTCGTAACTAACTTGTGCCACAATTGATCAAGCAAATGTGCAATCTCTAATATTCTTCCAGCGGTATCAATAACTACCATAACATCACCCCCATCTCTAACGGTGCCTAGAAGCCTTGTAACTAATAATTCATCGCGCTGCTTTCGTCGTGGCTGACTGTAAAGTGCGTTGAAAGCATCTGTTATAAGCAAATTTGGTCGTCCAATACCTATAAATATATCAGTACTTCTTTCAGATTAAATTTTTTGTTTGTTGAATAATTTAAAAAATCACCATCAAAAGTACAGCCATTCAAATGTCGCTCTTTTCTATGATTGAAATCAACGGCATAAACAATTTCTTCGTCTCCCATTTTCGTTATTCGCCATATAGCACCACCAATCATATGCCCAGCTGGTAGTGGTGTTATTTGAAGACCATTATCCCCTTTTAGTAAAATCTAAAACGAATTTCTCTTAATAATAACAAATTCTAACTGGAATACATTCGCAAGCAAACCATCACTAACTAAAACTCTATAAAGGGATCCAAAATTTTAGATTACTACAAAAAAATTATTTGTCATTTCCAATAAAATGCCGGCGAAAATCGCAACTAAGTCACTTTTAGTAAAAACAGATGGCAGCTTTCAATTTAACTACAAATAATATCTGAATTTTATAAAAAAAACGAAATACCGAGCAGTAAAGTACATTACTAATAAAATATTTATAACTGCTTTATGGTGGCGAAATAATTTATGAATCACAGGTAACAGTTGGACAATAAGTGAAATAAAACAAACCGTCTGACTATATTTCACCTGCTGCACCCGTTCGAATGCGGCATCAACATCGTCTAAATTGAACAGATCAAAATCTTCGACGCTGGTGTGACCGTTAACCCAATCATACAGAAACATTTGTCCCATCTTATACACGGGAACCTGACGGAATACTTCATTCTTAATAAATAATTTTAAGATGCTAGATTTTGAAAATTCAAATTTTATTCAAGGGTATTACAGAGAATGTGACCTGCAGATACCCTGGTTTCATATCGGTATCGATCTACTGATTTCTGGTGAATAAATTCACCATGTAACATAGCAAAAAAATATGAATTCCCTTTTAATCTGTCTGCATGCACATTCCAAACATACATTTCAAGTACTCATTTCTCATTTGAAATAGCAAAAAATCTGAAAACGCCAAAAGATCTATACTGACCTATTGATGTTTTCGGATCAACATTCTCATTTTGCTCAATGAATGAAATATTTATCATGAAAAAAAACTGTAAATTTAATTTATTGTTGTTCAATTTTCATAAATAGATACATATCACTTAAATAATATAAATATGGCTAATAAGTGATACTGTTTCCATTATATGAGGAGTGAAAATTAAAGGAGAAATAAGAAAAAGGGAAAAAAATACAATTTACATCTAACCAATTTATATATGTATTAAACGAATTTCTGCAGAATCATTATAGAACATGGAAAATTGATCTGAAAAACAGATTTCCACCCATTACAATTAAAGGTCTCTCTTAAAGCTTTTTGTTTTGCTACCGATGACATGTTCAGTCAGAGTTCATATTTTATAAAAGAAAGGTTATACTGTTAAGAAATAAAAAATATATCGAGATAATTAAACATGCAAAAAAAGTGAACGAAGAAACTAAAACTGCAAAAAAAAAGTGGTGAACTTACAGTAGCATAAACAGGACAGTTAAGACCACATTTTCGTACAAGATATGGTAAAGCACCGACATGCGAAATATCAGCGTAAGATAATAAAACAGCGTTGATTAAAGGGACACGCCGTTTCACAGCTTCTATGTATGCCATGTCAAACCGTTCGTCCCAACCACAATCCAACAAAAAATAAACTTGATCAACCTGAAACAAAACTATTCAGCCGAGGAAGTTATGATCATAATAATTTACTGGATATAAATTTGTAGCAAAATCTGCAGTTACTGACTGATGTCTACTTTAAATCTAGGAAATGATAAGTCCAAGTTATTCAAATTCTAACTTTAAGAGATATGCAGTTTGGTATGGAATTTTAGTGAGCATCGAAATGTAAAATATCAGCGTATGATAATAATTTTAGATTTATCAAATTTTTTCATTATATTTAAAATTCCAATAATTTAGAAAAGTGCATCTGAATTACTTGATTCATTCGCAATATCTTATTTTTCAAAAAACTCGAACAATGTTTTTCTGATACAACAATCATAATATGAAGATACATGAAAAGCAATAACTGTCTTGTGGAGCTTTAAAATCATTCCACAAATTATTTATGCAGTGCACAGTTAAACATGAAATTGTTCAAATTTTTTAAAATTGAAATTTTAAAAATCAACTCACCTGCAACAAGTAACACAAGGGTCCATCGTCTTGCACACCTGACAATGCTTCTAATTTGATGATTGAAGTCATTGAGCTGGAACAAATGATAGAAATCAAAAAATACACTTCAAGTAAGACAAAAAAATAAACCATACAACAACTAAGCATGGTACCCAGGAAAACTACAAAGCGACTTTTCTACCGATACATACATTTCTTCGCTGAATTATTTGTATTTATAAACCAGAAATATCATCGTAATCTAAGTTAGAATGGTTTGAAAAAGTGACAAGTGAAATGATTCGCTACGTCAAAAATGAAGTTAGGGGATGAGGTTTGTCTGGTGATTTCTGATTTCCCATTTGGAAGATGTGTTCTGAATGCTGATTTGTGCTGCTAAGTAACGCATTTACTAGCATCTTCTTGTGTTTTTTCGAAGATTTTTTCCGTTCTTATGATGAAAGCTGTCATTGTAACATAAGCATAATATACTTTGCAGATAAGTGAATGGTTAATTTTTTTCTCACGGATAAATAGAGCTAATAATGGATATTTTGGTTGAGTTTTGTACATTCACGTTAACATGTTGAGTTTTAGTTACTCTTAAATCTGTATGTTTTTATTCAGTGGTTTCCGAGTTATATTCAGCTACCATAATTTGTAGGATGACTCGTCATGGTAAAAATGCTACAGCATCTGCGGTCTATTCTTATTCAGAAAGGCGAAAAGATGCCAAGGAATCTGGCTATGGCACACTGTATCAAAGACTTGGTGCAGACTCAGTCAAAGAATTTGATTGTTGCTCGATAACTTTGCAGCCATGCCAGTAAGGCATATTTCATAAGTTACAAAACTTTGGAATCATTAACTGCGAATATGAAACGAGTGTAAAACATTTTCACAAGCCGCGTTTTTCTGAATTTATGTGATTTCATTTAACAATTTGTCACTCTAATTAACTTCTAGAGAAATTATTTGCTTAGTTTTATCTTGTAGATGATGTGTGACGGGAATTATACATTTGAATGAGGCGTTAAGCAGAAAGTTTTGAGTTTGTTACTTTTGTAACATAAGCTTCCAACTGATATGACTGTCAGTTCCTGTAAACTTAGTTGTATGTGAGTTTTGAAAGTTACAGAAATATTGATCAAATGATGTGCGTTCATTGAGTAGTAATTTACAAAAGTTGCAAATCGACACAAAATTGGGTTTTAATTAGCGTCATATATTGTGAAACTCAACAAATTTGCTTTGATTTTCGATTGTTCATAACCAAATGAGAATTGTGGGAATAGTATTATACTTCAAATTAATTGATGTAATACCTAAAAATCTTGGGAAGTATATCGTTTGGAATTCTCAGTGTTATAAATTTTATAGAGATCCTGTGATCTCACCTCATGGTTATATTTTTGATCGCGAAGCTGTCTTAGAGTATTATCTAGAGCAGAAGAAAGAAAATTTGCGAAAATTAAAAGAATGGGAGAAACAGTGCGAAAAAGAGAGCGAAGAAGCGGAAAAAGTATATTTTTTTCATTTTTGATCATTTACATGGAAATTATCGCAAACCTTTGAGCCGTCTGAATCATAGTAACTTATAGGAAAAACATTTGCTTGAAGAGTTGAAATTGAAAAAATTCAAAGAAGTGGAAGGTACGCCAGCTCATCCAGGAGTAAGACGAGATGATAATAGTGGTGGACCAACTACTTCAGCTGGTGCAACGCCTTCCGGAACTAAAGTATGTTTTCTGACTGACTTTCTGTAATTCATCCCTGAATGGTCAAAAGTATAACTTTGCTGAAAAAATTTCAGAACAATAAGCGTAAAATTTATGATTTTGAAAATGCAAGTAGTAAACGATTGAAAGACGATGAAATTTCAAATGTAGCTGGTGAAAAAGCAAAAGAATATCCTAGCTTCTGGATCCCGCAGCTGAATCCTTCCGTGGAACTGAAAATTGAGAAACCGGTGAGTTCTATACTAAATTCATACCATCATTTTTCAGATTTAATTGCCAAAGTCATATAATGATATTGATATCAAAAATAGTTATGCATACATGTCTGGATTCAGTACTTCTTTAATCATTACTGATTTGTCTGATGGTGCACGAGTTTTGTCATTGTAATGAAAATGAAGATGGGAAGGTAGTTCTTATAAATAATATTGCATTGATTTTTAGGAACATCGTGTATTCTGCCCACTGTCTGGTAAACCACTCAAGATCAAAGAATTGATGCCAGTAAAATTCACTCTTATGCCTCATGATGACGACAAAAAGAGTTTAATAGCCCGGAAAGTGCGATATATGTGTCCAGTAACACATGATGCACTTACGAACACAACTCGATGCGCTTATCTGAAAACTAGGTGATTGTTTTTAATACCATGTACTGAGTAGAATATGGAATGACCTATGCATTTATGAATGACATTTCGTTTCAAGGTTGTGCTTGTGATCCGATTTTTTGTTTTGTGAGTACGTATTTGGAAACCATGAAATATCTGTGTTATTGTCGAAATGACCACTGTTTGCGCAGTTAGCATGCCTCAATATATGTTTTTTGATTTTCCTCTGAAAAAGTTATTTTTATAGAATTATTGCAGTCAAAATGTAGTCACAATGGATTGCGTCGAGAAAATAATCAAGAAAGACATGATAGATCCAATAAATGGGAAACCTTTGAAAACTGGAGACATAATTGAACTTCAGAGAGGTGGCACAGGTAGTTTCCTTTGTTTTTGTAGTTTAAAAGATGGAATCATAGGGATATACGTGTATTAAAACAAAGTAGAAGGTTATTATAATTGGAAATTGCGAGCAGTTGTAGCAAAAAAGTATAAACTACTATTGCGAACTGGATAATGAAACTTCTCTGAGATGCATGATTCTTATTTTATAAAGAGCCGTAAATTTTGAACACATTTTTGATTGATTCTGTAGCAAACCTTTGATGATAAATAAAAGAATCCGCAGAAGAGCACGACAGACATTGTCGTTGGTGACAATATTTGAGTCATTTATGGTTTCAATATTTTTTCAGGTTTCGCTTCTACAAATGAAGTAAAAGCAAAGTTAGTAAGACCTCAACTGGAGCTGCAGTGATAAATAATTTCTAGCAACTTTATATATTAGAAATATTACAAGTGAGCATGTGTTCAGCTGGATGAGATTTTGTAGGCTAGATAATAGTCTTTTTTAATATTTCCTTTATCGATGCTACCGTTTTTGTTGATCTCGATCTTAGAATTTACAAAATACCGTTATGGATGTGCTTAAAAAACATGTGAGATCATAGTCATGCAAAAAATATTTCGTTCAGCTTTCCATTTTTTGTCTAACAAAAAGTAATTAATGATCTGCTACTTTAAAATTTTGTGAAAGAAATCGTTTTGAGTTGAAAAGACTGACTTGATGAGCTTTCATATTCTATCCAATTGGTTGCACTAAAGAATTATATAATTTTTCTTTTCGAATTTGCACGGTTTTATTCTTGTGCTATATGAATATGTCTAGATTTTTTGACTCTTTTATGTATAGAAAGATATGCTGATAAAAAAATGAATGGTTAACTTTTTTAAATGAGTTGCAACTCCTGCATTTCCTGTACTGATGGAAGTATTGCATGTACTGAAAGAAACTGCCCTTATATTACCATTGCAACTTCTGATGTACTGATGAATATTCGTAATCAGTAAGTTGGAAGTGATGTAATTTTCAAATATATCGTAGTCCGGGTATTAGTGTTTTTGTACTTTGAGAATTAGGATCCGCAGCTTCTAAGAAGTAATGATTTTGCTTGTTGCTTTACACATTTAACCGGATTGAAGATACTAAATACTGTCATGGATTCAAGTTTTGCAGATGTCCGATGTTGCGCAAAACGATGTATTCAAGAGGCCTGCTATGCCGCTGGTCGCTGTTGGTAAATAGCTGTTTTTCTCATTTGTTCCTAGTCCTAACTGAAAAATTTAGTAGATCTTTTTATATTACTTCACTTTCAGTGCATGCTAATGGGAACAAATCTGTAAACTTGCATGATAATTTAAGTGTATAAACTTTAGGACCTAAAAAACCGCGGTTAGATATAGTTTCAAGTGGACTACCTCATTCTATATCCCGTACATCACATCTTACGGCCCCTATTATGCTGCTTAGTGGTCATGATGGTGAAATCTATACGGCCAAGTTCAGCTCAGATGGAAGTTGTTTAGCGTCAGCTGGTTTTGACATGATAGTATGTAAGGATTTTTATTTAATGCTTCTATTTCTTCAATTTAGAGCTTTGGTAGTCTTTTAAAAGAAACTTGTGGTTAGCTTGCATAGGAAAGAATATCACTTATAAGAACGTAATGATTCAAAAATTTTCTGTGTGGTTGTTGTGAAGTTATTTTTAAAATTGAAATTTGGTGGTTTGTCTAAGTTATTTTAGTAATAGGATGTTGATTTCTTGTTAACACAGGCTTTATAACCTTGGTATCTTTTGATTATATATATACTTGTCTCGTGCTCAGATTTGTTGTGCTGATCTTCGTCGCTTCATCTTCGTGGAATCCGTAGTGGTGATCGAATGAGATTTTCACGCGTTGATTAAACATATTGATTTACTTCGCGTAGCGTTTATGGAAGTTCGTTACAATCCCATCCCAACATAATAACGAACTTCCATAAACTTCCACATACGGAATTATTTTGATCCTGCATTTCATCTGTGATCCAAGTTTGTTAGCGAGTATGTCATACTTTCGCTTTTTCTTGTCTACACTGCAATCATCATCCTGCCCAAACTAGTGTCATATTTGTCTTTAATTCGGCTTCAGAGTGGAAAGTATCACGCACTTCATAATCTGTTGCAAATTATCCCAAATATTCGTTGTGCCGTATTTCGTCATCTTTTTCCATCTCTGAGTTCCAAATCGTACTCCAAAAATCTTTTTCTTCTGTCACTAGATGATGGCTGATAAGCTGTTTTTCGGCAAGATTTTTATAAAACCGTTTTCACGACAGCTCATATCTGGCGTTTTCGATTTTGTATGCATCCCGGGGCCCATAACTTCTAATTTTACTTTCGTAAACCTTCACTTGCTCTTTCAACATGATTAAAGTTTCATGAAGTCACCTTGAGATCAGGTATGAAATTATCCTCCTCTTGTTCGCCTTTAGATTTTTACTCGCATGTTTTTGACTAACCAAATTTCGTTCTATGATAGTTTTGTGAAAATAAACAAGCTTCGCTTCGTTTCTATGCTTACCTTCTATCCCAGTGGCTTCTTCGTTTTTTCATATTTTCATAGCATTGTTGTGCCACCTGGAACTTGCAGTATTGGTCATTGATTTCGGAGGATTTTCTTGTGGCATATTCACCCGCCCCACTGATCACTATAAGTGAATCAACGTTTTCCGAGATTATTTTTTGCGTCCACTTCGTTTGATGTACCTGTTGGCTTTTTGCATCAGACAAGGAACTTCTCCACATCTAGACAAATTTCAGATTTATGTGGTGTATTTTTTTCGAAGTAGGTGTGAGGTATTTGACACTTTCTTCCAGGAAGATATGCTCTTCTAAGAATCGCTTCTGCGAATATGGACGACCTGCAATGCTAGTGATCGTAGCATTCGCTTGCTCCTTCAGTTTTTGTAGGCTGTTCGCATACACGAAGTTATGTCAATTCAGGGAACGGCCATCCCTTCTTGGCATTCCTTCAAAACGGTCAGAGACTGCTTTCAGCATCTCTTTTGGCCACTTGCTTTCTGCAATCTCTACTCTACGGACGAGTGCTTCGAATGGTATCATTCTACTGGCACCAGGTTCCTAGAGTGCTCTCTTCCCGGAATGTTTTCTAACCGCATCCGTTCTTCCATTGTTTTCATTTATGATTTCAGATACGAGTTTTTTCTTTTGCTCTGTATTTTATGCTTCTTAAATACATTCATTCGGTCAACGATTAGGTAACTCGGCAAAGCCGAGGTTATTATATATTTATATAATTGCAGTTTTGTGGAACGTTTATGGCGAGTGTGAAAATTTTTCTACTTTAAGAGGACATATGGGAGCAATAATGGATCTTCATTTTAGCACTGATTCTAGGTTAATTCACTAGTATAGTTTTCGGTTTAATTTTTCGTCAAATTTTGTTGAAAGAAACAAGGTTTTGGGATCTATGTTACAATTTGTTCCTCATAATTATAGACTCTAAATCAGTGATGAGTCTTCTTATGTCCTTCATTTCCCTACTATTTTTAGTAATTTTTCATTGCAGCTATATTTTCACTGCATCAACTGATAAAACAGTTCGTGTTTGGGATATGGATACTGGATTATGTATTCGAAAGATAAAGGCACACAAGGATATCGTCAATAGTTGTCATCCTGCTCGTCGTGGGCCCCAACTTATTGCTAGTGGCTCTGACGACTGCACTGTACTCGTACGTTTTTAATTTTTGAAGTGGTTTTATAGGAATCAGTTTTGTCGTGTTGATTCAAAAAAGATGTTCTGAAATTATTACTTTTCATAAATACTAAGACAAGTTCATTTATTCAACTTAATTTGTACAAGTATTTTCCAGATTCATGACATCAGAAAACGAGACCCCGTTACCGTCTTGAAAAGTCCTTATCAAATTACAGCGGTAACCTTCAATGACACAGCAGAACAAGTCATTGGTGGGGGTATTGATAATGACATTAAGGTATTTTTCATTTTTATGATAAATGCTGCTTTAACTTTTGGTAATATCATAAAAGAGTTTTTTAAAACAATAATCATGTATAAATAAGTTGTAGGTCTGGGATCTAAGACGGAACGATCTGGCTTATGTAATGCGTGGTCACACTGATACAGTAACGGGGTTGTCATTAAGTCCACAAGGGACGCATGTTCTTTCGAATGCAATGGATTGCAGTGGTAATTGTGAAGTATAAGCAGTATTGAAAACAAAACAAAATTATTAAAACAAACGCAGTATCAAGAAACCATATTTCGAGTTTAAATTATATTTCACAAATGCAATCCTATAATCAGCATAAATTTATATTCTAGCGAAAATCTGGGATATAAGACCGTTTGCACCGGAACAGCGATGTCTAAAATCATTTGCTGGACATCAGCATAATTTTGAAAAGGTTTCATACTTCACTTTGAAGAGACTGCATCCTTCTCTTTTTAAAATTTCATTCAATGCTTTATATTCATTCTCGAAAATTAGCTCATCAGTGAGGACGCTCTTGAAAAAGCAGAGTTTTCTTCAGTTTTCTTCTATTTATGTCCATCGTATTTCAGAATTTATTGAAATGTGCTTGGTCGCCAGATAGTGCGCGTATTACTTGTGGTTCTAGTGATCGTTACGTCTATGTTTGGGAAGTATTGTCGAGAAGAGTACTGTACAAATTGCCTGGTCATCAGGGATCAGTTAATGCTACTGATTTTCATCCGAAAGAACCAATAGGTAAATATCATTTTAAAATATTAGCATTTAAAACTTTTGAATTTTCTATTTGTGAAGGTTATAACATACAGAGGTGAATCATCACATTTAAGTTCCAACGCAAGATTTCTTGTGTTGATATTACGTCATTTTGGTCTCTCTCAATAAATCAGTTTTAAACTTTATGTTTGACAGAAATAATCTCGAATTAATAACGCTTTTCATTGTCAAAACTAAAAATATATAGCACAGCAGAATTACATTTCAAAAAATGAAAAGTTCTGGCAAAACTGAGAAACAGTAGGACTACTGCTGATAATTTATTTGGTTTTCGAGGTTACCGAAGCTTCATAACTTTTTCCAATTTCAGTGTTATCAGCTGGAAGCGATAAGAAAATTTATCTTGGGGAAATTGAAGCTAATTGATCTCTTAACTTGTTGTGATTCGTTTTGTTATGTAATTTGAAATCAAAAATCAAAAAAAAACTTATAGATCTTATATTGTTTGTATGTCTTTTTTTGAATCTGAAGGGTTTTGTGCCTTTAATCGATTTATTCCTGTTGTATCGAGTTTGATTGGATTTCAAAAATATCATTTGACTGTCGCTTTTTCGAGATAGGCTCTCAGTAAATTTCGTTCAGTTCGATCGAGTTGACTTAAATTGTGTAATTCACGAACATTCAAATTTTTAGAACAGTAAAGCTGTCTTTGAAAAATAAATATGCTACACTAAAGTAATAAAACATGTCGGACTTTATTCATTACAATATAGTGTGGATGGGGATTACAGATCGCAGTAGTGAACTAACGAATAATTAGGGTGCAGGAGGCGGTTTCATCTTATCTAGTGTTCCAGATTTCCATTAGAAATCGACATAAACTTCATGACTTCTAGTGTAACTTTGAATATCTCTCGTAGCTTTGAGTTGGAAGTCTTTTTTTTTCAAATCCTGGAGTTAAAATATTATGTATGGTTGTTGTTTTTATTATTTTGAAGGCATGAGAAATATTAGCACTGTTACTAGAAATGCAAAGTTATTCATTTCACGATCTCAAAATATTTACGAGAATTTGGCATTCGAAGAGTGGTTGCTGCGAAACTTCAAACCTGAAGAAGCTGATGAATCAGTATTCTTATGGAGGTATACTTCGGGTTTATAATTTGAAACCCAAAGGACGTGAGATTTTATGGAGGAGATGGATGTAGACATGAAGTTTTGTGCATATGCATTGTTCCAGTAAAAGTTTTAGTCACTGTTTAATTTAATTTATCCTTATGTCAGTCGGAGACATGATTTTTTTAGTAACAAACCAGCAGTAGTCATTGGGCGACATCAAAATCCATGGCTCGAAACGGATTTGAATTATCTGAAACATAATAATATTGACTTGGCTCGACGTCATAGTGGAGGAGGCGCTGTTTACCATGATTTAGGTTAAACGAAAAATTGAAAGGAAATTTTGCTCTGAATGTGGTCGTAGAATTCACAAATTGGTATCAGTATTGTGTTAACTGGTTGATTGTTATCTATGTGCTGATTGGAATTCGTTTTTGATTTTTTTCAGGCAATCTTAATATTTCTATCTTAACATCACAACGACGACATGATAGAAAGGGGAATCTGCGTAAGATAGCTGAATTACTGAGTAAAGAATTTCATATCAAGGTATTACTAACGAAAGTTTGTTGAGAAAAGGCATATGGAAATTTTAAATGATTTCTTAGTCGAAAAAAAAACATTCTGTTTGTAGAATGGGTTTATCAGTAGATTTTACGAATCCGACTTATAAGATTATTCTTATGAAAGTGTTATGAGATAATGATTTTTAGGTAGAACCTAATGTTCGTGACGATCTACTGTTGCAGCCAGGACAACGGAAAATCTCAGGAACAGCAGCACGAATTATTCGTGGAGTAGCATATCACCATCTGACATTACTCATAAATGTCGATATAGATATTCTAAAACGTTCTTTATCATCTCCTTTTAGTGTGAGTTTCATTTGAATTATTAACATTTTCTGAACTTTAAAATGCCATACCTAGTTCTGTAAAAATTAGATTCCTTGAAGAAATATGATCTAACTGAAATCATTTGAAATATTCTTCATATGATTTCTAAAAATTCACGTTGATAAATTTCCTACAATCAAGACAAAGGATTTTTGGATTTTTTGTTTCTCAAAATTCAGTTACATCTAGCAGCAATATTTTTGTAGGAAAAGCTGTTAACAAGTGCTACTCGAAGTATTCGAGCGCAGGCGGTTGGGTATCTAGCGCAAGATATCCCTAGAATTAGCGTTGAAGAAGTACAGAACGTTCTCGTGCGTTCTTTGCAAGACCAATATCTAGTAAGCCAGGAACGCGAATTCTAGAAACCTTTGTATATTTTTTACAAGGCGGCAAATATCTCATGAATTTTCAAAGTGCTTCTAATTTCCCTTTAGATCGATCATTTCAGACTACCGACATAGTTACAATACCAAACGTGATAGCGGATGAGCAGTTCCCGGGTGTATTGGAAAATTTAAAAGAGTTAAAAAGTTGGGAATGGATTTATGGAAGAACACCACAGTTCACCTTATCACTATATGATGAACAAATACAAGTCGAACATGGTTCAATCACGCGAAGCTTACGGGATCAAAACTTGATTGGTAAACGGCTTCAAGATGACGTGATGCAGACTTATCTAGGTTTCAATGTTCATCGTTTTTTGGGGATTAATGGGGCAAAATATCTTGCTGACCTGAAAGCTTACTTATCTGAAGTCCCTAAAGGTTATGATCCAAAGATTATCGTTATTCAGACAACCGTCGTTTTCGCTCTTTTTACTGCTTTAGTTTATCCTTTCTACTCATATTTAAATGGTGTCTATGTTTAAGTTATGCATATTTAATGTTTCTAAAAAATTTACGCCGTACACACCTAATTTATGTGAAAAAATTGTACGAGTTGTTATCACCGAAACCACCTTTACTTCAATATTGGAATTTATCAAAATCAATGGGAGAAATTATAAAATTTATTTCAAAACAGGATGTGACAATAAAAGGAGAGAGATAGAACAATCATCGAAAGCAAGTCCAAATCTACATTTGACTAACGAATGACAACACAGAATTTTTCTTTTCTTCAAATATCACGGAATCTTCATCAGCATGACGTTCAGTACCTACATCTTGCTTTCCTCTTACCATACATTACATTGTACATCAAAATAATATAAAAATTTAATTCAACTTCATATCTCTGGTACCATAACAAATACATTCAACCGATCAGTCCTAATACATTATTAGGTCCCGCGGCGTTCTAGATCGAGGTGTAGTTTGACTTTCATATTTATTCAATTTATGAAGGTCACTAAAAAGTATTGAAGCCCACTCTTAAACTTTAACTTATGAAAAGGCAAACTAAAGCCTGACTCATTCCACAGAATTCTGGATTTTCTTCCAGATTAATAGACCAAATGTCTCAAACTCATTTTCGTGCAGAATGGTGTGATGATTTCACGAGTGCAGAAATAAAAAATTAATCCAGAAAATATTGAGATGGGGAGCGCCGGTAGTGCTTTACGGAATACAGCAAGTAATATAAGTGTGAAACATAAACCCTGGAAAATGTATGTGTCTCAGACAACTTACAAACAACGATGCAAGTTGAACTATGTTTGTTTCCATGAAATTCTCAGCAACTCAAAGTCAAGTAAGGAAAGGGTTATTTTGTAAGTCTTTTGCAGCTGCTTGACATAACTCATATTTTCAAATCAATTACTGTTTGATTATTAGGTTAATTAGGAAAAATAAAATGATCCAAAATGCATTTGAGTGATTTGCAAGTGTTTAATAATGAAAATGAAACTTGCAATGAGAATGGCAACATAGCAAGCGATAGTTGTATTCCAATCGCCGTAACTGCTTGCTTTTCCAACCAACACACTGTAGAAGATAAAATCCCCTAATCCAAGTTTAATACCCTCTGAAAAGTATTTTCAAGAATTACTTACCCAGTAACGACTGGCTCTTGTCAAATAATAGAGCAATTTCTACAACACAACGCCAAATTATCATATACACAAGTATCCGCATTAAAAAAAGCAACTATCTATGAATATGTACTTCGAAAATTTCCTACTTTCGTCATAAGGTTTTGCTTTCAGCAATTTGCCGGGTTCAGATCGTATATCATCAATTGTTTCGAGTGGTGTACTCTGATTGCCCTTACTTAATGATGCAGCAACTCGTTTTTCTCGGAGATTCTTTGAACTCAAGACAACTTCATATTATCAAGTTACGCTTGAAGTTTGTAAAAATAAAATAAAATAAAAGGGACACTTGAAATGAGAGAGTAAATTAAAAAATTACGGTAAATTACTTTGTGGTTTCATGTTCATCAGTATCTAAAGCGACATTTGCAACACCATGTCCTGAAAAATTTAGTAATTTGGCTTTTAATTAATGCATAATTCATCACTAACACTCTCTATATAGTTCAAGGCATCATTAAAAATTTATCTATCGTCTTACTATATTCCAACAACATTACATGATATATACTGCGCCTAAAAAAACGACCAAAACATCACTACCTGTGTGACCAACGGTACGTGATGGTGCAAATCGTCGTACAACATTTCCTTGAGAAAATTTTTTCTTATCGTGACTATTGTTTGCTGTCAGTAATTCAGCCGTAGATGGTGATGAGCTATCTGATGAATTTGAAGAACTTTCCGCAGGTAACAAAGGTGATGTACCCAGTTCATCTGAAATCAATCATATTTTACAAGTTGGAGGCTTGAAAAGTAAATGCTGAAACCTTGCAAAAACGCACCAGAGTCATTACAATTTGATGAAGCATTTGCTGCTGTAGAAGAACCGGCATCATCGGTCGGACTTACACCAATCGATGTGTATGCATAGACCAAACCAGCTAAACTGTAAAAATATTGAAGCAAACAATTACTAATAATAAATGTGTTAAATTTGCTTTTATGCCTTAAACTTAGTTAAAAATTTTATTCTAATTGAACAATTCTTTTACCGACAACTGCGATAATCTTTTCAGCTATATTATTTTAACACTGAAAAATTTTGAAAAGCAAATTTTAAGAGACATGAATAACAAACATGGCAATTATAATTTGAATCACTTACTTGGACTGCTTGCTTTAGTATTAATGAAAAGGATGATATTATTTTGGTTGTTATTAGAGTGTAGCAAAAGAATTTTTCTACAATCTAACGATTATTTAAAAAGTTAGAGAGATAATAAAGTTGCGTAGTCACAAATTACTAGTTCAAAGAAAGCAATTTCGTAAAATGAAAATCTTTACGTACAAGAGTAAATTAGCACTGGAAAAATTGGTTCATTTCGTTCTTGAGCAGTTTCGACAAGAATCCGTAGCGGTCCTTTTGGACAAAGCACAGCAATAAGATCCCAAATAGAAATAACTGAAAGAACTGCCCAAACAGTCCATTCTGGCAGATATTTAATAAAAATAAGTGCCATTAAAGCCGACATCATTATCAAGTAACCCTGAAACAATAAGAATGTTTTCATATCGATAAAAATGTAAGCCAAAATTTGCACATCAAACAAAACAGTCGGAAAAAACAGATATTGAGCAAAATCTTGCACAAAGTTAACTGCATTACCATGCTATACGTATTTGGACTAATAAAACATAGACCGTTTTTTTATATTTGGAATTAAAACATAATGAATACACTTTTTTGATGGTTGAAGTAACGAAAATAAATTAAAATAGCAATAGCAGTATAACAAATGTACAAAGAGGCGTGCCTGCTGCATCCTAAGAGGACCTTTCCAGTGTATGCAAATCATTCCCATAGCACCGTAATTCCAAATCAGAAAGGAAATAAATACATAGTCAACCGGTGTATTGTAGCTTTTGAAAACCTCTCTAAAAATAGTTGTGTTTTTTTATCTTCGCTATGATAATTCTACATAAATTCAACCACAAGCAAACATTTTTCGATAACATTTTTTCTTGTTAAATATGGAAAAAAAAATGTTGATAATAACTACCGAGAACGGAACTGAATACTTACTGCAAGTACATAAATGTGAAAAGGGACAGCAACATTAAGCTGCTTAATATCAACCATGCACTGATAATCTAGAAGTAAAAAAGAGTGATTTAAATTATATCATATCTTACATTCATTACTAAGCTTATTAGTACTTCAATAAAAATGACACATAAAACTTTTGACGGTTTTTAAATTGTATACAGTCGACTGCCTGAAGTTCATTAGTGTCTGAATACTAAAAATGAATCTGGAGATGAAATTTAAAAGAATAAGTAACGAGATTAACTTCGTTACATTTATAAAATCACAATAAACTGAACCCTATAAAATCGAAATTTGTAAAGAAAGATCAGCACAACAGTCATTAACACGACAACTCCCAAAATAATAAATGCATTTCCTAAGGACATCATAATTTTTTCTCCAGTATCATCAGTTTCCTTAGTAAATGGCGTATATATCCTACAACAGTACATTATATTGCACTCGAACCATGCATTTAAGCTTCTATTTTTCAAAAAACCTAGCAATAAACTTTACTATAGGATCATATTTTAGCGATACTACAAATTTACGAAATTTGGAAAATAACAAATATGTATGAAGTTCAAACAATATTTTCCTACATGAAATTTCAGTAAACAAAAGATCATTAAGGCCGAAAAATGGCAACTGCAATACTTCAGTAAGCTTTTAAAGTCTTCAAAATCACTTGGACATGAAATTTTTCAAGTTTTAAAAATAAAAAGAAACTAAAATTAAGTAATTGGACAGATGGTATGGTTTTTTTTAAATTTTGTAACAGAACTTACAGATATAGGCCATCTTTTCGTGTATAATAACCAATTGTATTCATTGTTAGAATAACAAATGCCATACAAATAGATACTGGAATGAATAAATGTATAACGTGCTGTGCACCGTATTTCACTTCTAGTTCATCCTCGTTTGTGTCTGTTTCTTAAAAGAATTTTTTCCTAAATGATAACAAAATTTTGCTGATAAAATATTTTTATCGATGATATTTAGCTTCAAAATTGCATTCACAAATATCTGACAAAAACTTGCAATTATATGACCTGAACATAATTTCTATAATTTTAAAATAAAGTAAGTAAATTTGGTACTCCAATATATTTTTCTCTAATAACGACAGCTTCCACCTTTTTTCGAAAAAAAGGCACACAAAAACTACCCTGAGTTGGACATTCTCTAATTTCAGAAGTTTCGTTCGTTTTTCCTGCGTAAACATTTTTCGCTTGGTACTTTCGCATCTAAAAATTAAATTATTGTGCAAAACACAAATCGTAATTAGATTACAATGCATTCTCTAAAATTGTCTTTTCTCAATGCAGAATGTTACGAAGATTTCTCATAATTGCATTTCAAACAAAAAGAAAACGCGAAGAGTGAAGCAAAAAATGATGATTCAAATATATTTAAGGTAAACACAAGTTTCTTATACACTGAATGAACTGTGATGCAATGTTGCTGTTTTCTTGATTGAAGTGCCAAATTAGCATAAATTTTTTGAAGAAAACTTAAGCTTAAATTTATAAGTTAATTCTGATTCTTAATGAATACTGATATCTTGGCTCCATTATAAATCATATGTTAAGGCTTCCCACTAAAGCTGAAGCTGTATTTGACGGATAACACAAGTTAGCAGGAGATTAACAAGAGATCTTTCGTTTACCAACTCAAACTAAATTGAAAAAATAGATTTGAACTAATGTCCAATAATAAACTTGTTCTAATACCAGTGAAGCCGACAGATTAGCGAAGAAGAAGCATTAAGCAAATAAAATAACCTGACTTCCCGACCCTCCACTTGTTCCAGATTTCCTTTCCCATTGATTCTCATCCCATTTTTTTGTAGTATCTGTTTGCTTTTTTTCACCACTATCATCCTCCATAATATGACGCGATAATATGAAAAGAGCAAATAATTCAGTTTAAAAAGCTGCACTTTCCTCACGTTTAAGGATTAGGCCTTCAAAAAAAACCTTTCTTTGTTTACACTTTCAAACTAGACAAGCCACGTTACAGAATTGCGCCACTACTCGCCTATGTATCTTATTTGAATAGCACTAGCATACCAAAACCCAAGCCGAATTCACACGCGATAAAAGAGTACCACACATGTGAGGCATCAGTTGCAATTTTTTGGTGAGACGTAGCTTTTCATTGTAAGACATTGGTCCTTGGCAACAAACCTCATTACTATTGTCCAACAGATTCGGTGAGGTTTTAGTATTTGTCGTGGCTTTAGTTGCTTCTCTTTTCCTTGTTAATGCTGTATTTCTTCTTTGCTTAACATATTTTTAATGTTGGGAGCGAATATTTTAAAAATTTGCGCAAGTACCATGCAGTGAAATAATATATTGTTTAACTGAAGTCAAAAGTTGAATGTTTGCTATATATTTCTTTAAAAACGTCCGGCTTATTTGTGGTTTTTCTTGACCTTCATCCAACTAATGAAGATTTTGTTTGTTTTTAAGAAAAGGACAAAGGTCAATTATTAGTAGTGTTCGTTTCAAGTAGAAGCGAAGTGTTGTCTTTGATTTCATTGTATGTCGAAATGACCAACATTTGATAGATTAAATTCAGAAAATTAAAATCTTTCATCCGTTGTCGCAACAATTTAACTTTAGTGTTAACTAAAAGAAATGTAATGTAATACTATGATTTTTGCATGGTAGTAGTCGTTGGCAGTTAAATTTTTCACAAGAAATAATACACTGTTCTTTAAACTAAATTAGAAAGAATTTGTTCTCTGAAAAAAAATGACATCGTAATATCTTTTAAAAGCTTTTTCCGCATTTTTCAGTACTTGTTAAACTTGCGCGTCGATATGGTTATTCATACACGGAAAAAATGCACGTGTTTTTGTGTATATTTTTCCTCTTGTTGCTAATCAATTCTGCAACATGTTTTTCGATCAATCAAACTTTTGACCGTTTTGAACGAGCAGTTGGTCATGATGAAGCGTATATTCAGCAGGTTTGGACTGTTTTGGCTTTTTACTGATTGAGGTATATATCAGTGTTCAAGTTATAAATGAACTTGCTTTAATTTCTCATATAGACAGCTGTGTTAGAAGAATGTTTTTTGTTTTTTTTTTGCTCTTGGAATTAGTCGGAGTCTTCAAAAATTCATTTTGATGATTCGGAAGTGGAATAAATTTTGAAAACATGACAGATATGTTTTTAAAGAACTCGATAACTTTTCTGACTTCAGATTTAGCTGGTGTGTATCCATATGAATAATTTCTGCCAAATTTGTTGTTTGGCAGAACACAGCAAATTTAAATATGGTTCATAACAATTAGGCGGTAGTTTTTAAGCAGTTCTTTATGCACTGTATATACTGATTATCGACTGGTTTATTTTAGCATATAACTCATCATTCGTTATTGATGAACTGTCGAAAGTCCTTTATCCGTTTGTATATTAGAATTTTTTATTACATTGTTAGTTACCTTCATTTCAAAATCAAAGTCTGTTTATTCAAGAAAGTAATCAGAACTTTTCATATTTTTATAGAAATAAAATCCTAAAATTGGTAGTGATGTGTTTTCAGATATATTACAATCATATCAAATGTGCTCAAACAGATTGGGCTTGTCGTGAGGAATGTCGTTTGGAGTTTGCTGATCGCATAACCGGTTTATGCATTCGGCCGTCGCCCACGCAAACTTGTTTTGGAATACCAATTCGCTATAATTTCACTTTTGAATCGCCAAATATATTAACAGAACTACCAAAATATGAAGTTCTTAGTAAATTCCCGAGGTATGACTATTTATTATTATCATGTTATGTTTTTTATAACTTTCTACTGCGAAATTTTATAAGTTGACTTGTGTTAGTGATGATGCTATAGTAAGCAAACTATAAATCACTGGAACCACTAAAAAAACTTTGAGTTCATTTTAGAAAAAAGATTGCTGGTCTACTTTTTTAAAAGATGTTTTCGAAAACTTGACCTTTTAAAGTGATATTCGTATCGACAGTTATTTTGTAGGTGTTGGTCGGAACTCGGACCTTTACTTTGTGCAGTTGCATATAGACCATGCTCGAATCGAACATATTTTGAAGTATCTATGGACAAGGTGTGTTATAATTTTCTTTATTGTTGTTTTCAATATTCTTATCTGACAGTGACTTTTTCGGAATAATTGGATCTCATATTTGTCGTGTCTCCATAATTCATGTTGTTTTATGCACATGCATTTTGGAAGGGATTAATCAGAAAATTTTCTGACTCTATTGCTTATAACTGGAATTTTCCAATTATAGGCAGGAAAAATGGAATTATGGCAGGTATTTCGAAAAGATATGTGCCATCGAGCTGTTAAAAGCTGCAGTTTTTTATTTGATAGCTCTTTGTGGCCTGATTTTGTCAACTGCTCAGACACCATTGAGAAGAAAGACGGAAGACGAATTTTTTCTAATGGATCATGTCGGGTAATGCAGTTATAGTTCTAGAAGTATTTGCTGCTTTAAAATTCAAAATTGTTTTCGTACAAGATACTTCTGAGGTGATATTTAACAAAAATTAATTACATGTGACAAGTTGGTTTCTACAAAGCTATTCTTTAGTATGAGTTCCTGAATTTTATCTGTAATTAGAGATCTTAACAGGTTATTCCATTCGGTTTTTCGACTGTCTCTTTTTTCTGCACTTTGCTGTTATTTAATATACATCCAAAGTTTAGTGCATATTGCTTTATTTGATACGCATTTGATTTGTTGAATTTTATCACTTAAGAAAACTATTGTTTTTTAAATTCACTTCAAATTTTGTTTAGATGAATTATGACAAGGAGCCTTCGGAAATGGAATCAAAACAGTGCTTGTGGCCTTTAGTTAATGGAGTAAAGCATAAGAAACCAATGTCTCAACCTCTTATTGATGACTGCTACATGTCATGCAGGTATAGATATTGTTTTGGAAAATTTTCCCTTAGAAATATGCGTAATGAACTAATCTATTTGGCAGTATTTTATTACGATTTACAGATCACCTTTGATCAGTTCAAAATGGCTATACGATGGTTTCAAGTCATCAGTTTTTTTCTTTTCTGTAACTATCGCTTCGGCTAGTTTACTTTGTACGGTACGCACTAATTATTTTTGGTTTCGCTTTGAATGCTATTACAAGTTTATATTTGCGATAAATGATATCTTCAAATGGTGTTCAGAAATTCTCATTTCGAAGATATTTATAGTTTCAACTTTATAATTTTTTCTAAACAAATGATTCTTTATTTAATTTTTAGAATTAGAAGAGTCATCAGATATGTTGGATATTAAGTATATTCATTTTCAGCTTTATCTATTCACCTTTTCTTTTCTTTACAACCATGATCTCTCCACTTACTCATTAACTCATGCGTTACTAAGTGCATCAGTACATTGGTTCATGTGGTCAACAAGTTACTTTGAAGAACTTGCACAGCGTGCAGTGTGTTTTTATTGGCTGAGACGTGATGCAATGATTTTGAGGTAAAGCATTCTCAGTTTTCATATTTTGCAAATTTAATTGAATCATTTCTGTGATAGTTATGTTCAAAATTCAGAAACACTGTGAATAAAAAAATGGCATAATGGAAAGAGAGATTTCCAAAATTTTGAAGTTAAAATAGAATGTAGACGTCTGTGATGAGAAAATCATCCTTGCTCTGCGAGCTCTCTGAAAATCTTCAAAATTGAGCAATGACCGGTTATGGCCTCTGAGACGCGTTCAAGATTTTGTGTGTTATGAAATATATGAAGGAAATAATTCATTAAAGATGTTTTGTAGCAAGTGCGAAGTCAGTCCGGTGTGAATTAAAGCTAAACATTCGAAACTACAGATTCCATTTTAAAAATCTCAGCATTTTGATTCAAATGCTTTTCGATAACTTAGCATGTTAAATAGATCGTTCTTCATAAAAATTTCTAGCAAGTATTTTAAGCTTGACAATGAAAATATTCGTTAGATTTTAACAATACTGTATGTGGAGGCAAAATATTGTGTTTGCATGACTTGAAGTTGAAAACCATGGTTCTTCGATGAATGAAACGCAGCATGTTATTCATAATTATTCATATCTATCACTTAGTTATTCGGGAGATTCCTTCATTTGACTCAACTTTTTCAGGAGTTTCTTAGATTGGTGCAATATTCAGTTTTGGATTCTGCGTGCTAGCATGCTAGCTGGATATTTTTGGCTTTTAACTGCATTTGTTATTCATTTTGGTCATCCTAAATTAAACTGCAGTCAGGCTGGAAAGTGGCAAAAGAAAAATCTTGATTTGCGCAGTTTCTCTCTTCTTAATTATTTCTTGGCTAGTTTTATAGCAACAATAGGACTATGGATCAATTCTGTAAATTTCTATTGATTTCCGCATGAATTGGTTCTAATCGTTTTTGATATTCTAAATATTTTAAATAAATAGGCTCATTCACCATCTATTCTTTTTAAGTCATTCTCGCATACCTATTTTTTAGAAAAGCATGAAATATGAGGAAATTCAGTTTGAAATTCACTATGCCTGAGTGTAAGCTGCTAATTTTTAATGGAAGGAATGCTGTATTTTTTCATTGTCTGCTCTGCAGGTAGAAACGGATGGTGCTACTGGCATTTGTTATTTAGGACTTCAGACTGTTGGCAGTGCTACACAATTATACATACCTTTTTTGTTCGCATTTATAATATTTTCATTGTTGATTGCTTATATGCGCTACTGGAATAAAGGTATTAGTTTGCTCTAATTCGTGATTAGTATTTGATTCAGTTTATCGAACCTAAGATTTACACTGTTCTATATGGTTCTTTTGTGTTATAAATGTGTTTGTTTCAAGGCCATTTGACAAGTGAGATTTTGGATGATTTTAAAAGAAAAGATCAAGTAGGTCTCATGGAAAAACAAGTTGTTGGTAAAAGCATATCCATGAATAGTGACTTTGACAGGAATGGCTATTTTCGGATGACAAAATCATGGAGAAGTAAGTCCAAGTGCCGTTTTTTTAACTAAGAGAAACGATTTTCTTTTTTTGAGCTCATAAGAGGAGGGAAGGTTTGTACTGATATCGAGGTTCTGATTTCTCGTCATTTTTTTCAGACCTTCTTTTCGGCGTTACAGTTGGATCTCAGTTCTTCGCAGCTTTGGTTCTTTTTTACAGCTTTTCTATCAGTACAGTGTCAGAGCGAGATACTGTTTTGAATTCAGTCAGGTTGGATATTCTGAAATCATCAATGACAAAATCCTAACACTTGTGAATATGCATAAAATGCTTAGAGGGATGCATGAACTTGTTCATTTCATTGGTTTTTTCATTTTTAAATTTTAACTTACTTTTCTTGTAGATGTTCTCTGAGAAAGACAATAATTGAAGGACAAACAGAGTGGTTACGTGGATTGGTACGAGATAATACGATGGATGTTTTTTCAAGACGAGAATCTCTCGGTAACAGGTATGAAGTTGTGTGAGTTATAATGTTGGAGAACCTCTGAACTGATTTTATGTGCCATTTATCATTGCCCTGAACTCTGAACAAAATTAGTAGTTGTACTTTATCCAAAAAAATTGGTCAAAAGTTTTTTTCTTAATTTTTGCAGCTTTCTCAGTGCTGTTGGTTGTGATTTGCCTACAGATATGGATGATCGTTTATTTTATACATTTTTGGTGCATCTTTTTTTCCCTTCCTTACCGTACCTAACGATTGTTGTTTACGTTCTAAGTGGATTCTGTGGATATGGACTTACTGATGTTGAGAAAGTGCGCGATAAAATTAATCCATTTGTTCTGGTGAAGTACTGTGATTTTGCATCAGCATCGCAAAAAGAACCGTAAATTTTTCAAATCTTCCACAAGAAATCTCTCTTTATCAGTTTTTTTATTTTATATGGAAAGCTAGTTTCAGATAGCTTGTAATGCAATTGGACTTTTTCGTATGAGTCAAGTTTACTTAGTTGTCTAACATTCTATGCTCCAGATTGGTAGTATTCGTTTTCTTGGCTAAAATTGGTAAAATTGATTATCATGATTATTGATATCATCAGGAATCTAGGACAAAATTAGCTTGTCACAAAAATTGGGAAACCTTTTTTGATATTTTCAGCTATCAGGTAGCTCGCTTTCACAGTACTTTTTTTTAATTCAAAAGCACACGCACATATGAGTTTAGGAGTGATATTAAGCAAATTCCGGATACGTTCAATTCTGTCCAGACTGGTCAGTTAAGCGAAGCTTCACCAAACTGCGAACCTAATGATCCTTTAAAAAGTAGCGAAGAACAAGAATCTGTAGACAAGTTTCCTTCAGATGTGGAGAGCAGAAGGTAAGCTCCAGAAAACATGGGTTCTATATATTATATTTGGACGATGTTCAATTCATTTTTCATTTCATCTTTTCGCAATCAAATTTTATTTTTTGCTGTACGAAATTGATTATTATGTTCACTTAGAAGTTCTGTGAAACTTCCCCATATTTTTTAACTACAAAAATGTTGCTGAGATTTTTTTCGTTGTTCTCATTTTTATAGAATTCCGGAACTTATTTTTTGATTTTTAGATTGGATGTGTTGCAAAAAAGTAGAGAGAGAAGACAGAGGCAGCTAAATCACGGCCCTTTATTTTCAGCAGCAGTAAATTCGTCTATCTCGGTAAATTTAATTAGTTGTTACGAAAATGCCATTTTGTGGCATTAAAACAGTAATTTGGATTACAAAATTTTTCATATAATTAGTAGTTCCTCTTTTTCAATATTAAGATTTCAGACTAAAAATATTATGGAGTCGTTTAGGTTTATCATAATTTGCTTTCGAAAATATATTGGGTATGTTAATCAAGTAGGTTTGAATATGTAAGACAAATAAAATTTATATAATCACTTTGCTAAGAAATATAGCTGAAGCATAGTTTTTCAGGCTAATTCAAGGTTGTTTGTGGAAATTCAAATAATTTGCTTCAGTTATTTGAGTTTCTCAATTCTCTAGACTGCAGTTTTGATTAGTTTATGAAATGTGCAATTCTGATATTAAGTTAAAAATCATATAATTCAATACATCAATGTTAATTAATAGTTTTAAACATGTTTTCTTTAGCCAACGGTACTATCTGCTTATCAAAATGGACTTATCGAAGGTCGCTGGCGTGAACGTTGTGTAACTTATGAAAAACACATCAAGGCACTTTCGGCTAACCTAAGGGTTGCAGATCATGAAATACGTCGTTTAGCTGGTTTAGATGTGTGGAAAGGTGGCATCTCTTAATCAAAAATATTTTTTTGACTACAAAATTTATACATTGGTGATATTCTGGTTAATAATGTTTGGTATGGATGTGATTGGGCTCTGAAACTTTCACTTTTGTCTCATTTTCCATTAAGTATTTGTGCACTTATTTTAGAAAATTTGTCATTTTTTGCTACATTATTGTCCATACTACACTCATTATTCATTGCATCATTTGTTTCCGCAGTATCATCTAAAACTATATATCATACTTTCCAATATGTAGGTAAATTTAATATATTATCAATTTTATTTTAGAAAGCTTGTGATCTTTCAGGTGAACAGAAACTTCTCTCATCGAGTGGAAATAATATTAGTTCAGACGGGATCGAAAATCACTGTAGATTAACTTCCAGTACTCAGTTTGAGTCGTGTCATGACAATTTCAGTGTTAATCGTATGTTGTTTTCGTATAAAATTTTGTGAATGTTTTAAGATTTCTAATAATTCTGCTTTTTCTAGTTTTCATTCTTCATTTTTGTTAGACTGCTAGGTCAAGAATGCTCAAACCAAAAAGACATGTTTTCCAGAAAAACATAATGTTTCACGAGATTTTGCTGGAGGAGGAGACCATGATAGTGAAGCAGAGACATCCTTGAAATGTCAGACATTTTTTGGTGGGTCTAGCACTCGGAAAGCACTTGATGAAATTGCGGAGGGTAATGAAGATCATGATAGTTCTAAAGATAGTGATAGTTTTGATTCTGATGAAGAAGATTCGGAAGAAGAAAGGATATATAACGAAAAGGTAACATTTTGTGGTATAATTAGTGAAAAATATTTTGTGCTTTTAGTCGCTTGAAGCTATTCTTTTCATTTTCATGTAGTATATTCATGAATATACTACATGTACTGCTCTTGCATTACTGTGTAATTTGTTCTGTTCATTTCATTTTTCAGATGATGCAATTGCAACAAGACAAAAACAGCTAACATGTGTGAAATAATTTTATGAACTCGTTTGGATGGATTAAAAAATATTTTAACACAGGTTTCTGAAGAAAGAATGTATTCTCTTTAGCACTTTTTATATTATCGGTTTCGATTGGTGTCTTTCATAACGATTTCCAGGCAAATATTTGTCAGTTAGTTTCAGTTAATTCTATATGATATGCTTTTACTCAATCGATTATGAATCTTCGATTAGTTTCTGGTTTGCATGAGATTCTATGCATGATTGTTAGTTTGAAGGTCTTGCATAATTTAAGTTTAATAAGTTCCTCTAAAGTCCTTTAAATTTAAAAATTTTATGGTTTCAATTCATTTTCGGGAGCGCTTTCATTTGTGCAGAAATTTATTTTCTAATACTATCAGGAAAATGGGATTCAGTAGATTTTTGATCCCAGTATTATAACCAATTTACTACTCGTGAAAGAACATTTTAGAATGATACTGCCTCGTGCAAATCTAAATTTAAATTTTGTCCAAATAATCAAGTCGTTCAATGCTCCAAACTTTAAAGGAAATGGTCAGAATTTTTTCATAAAAAGTGATATAATATGGTAGTTTTTTAATGTCTTTCAGGTAATATTCTGCAAAATATAAACTATGTCTTTACGCTTAATGTAATCTTGATGACATTTATTAAGAGAAAATAAGAGAACCTCACTCGCCGTACTGGAAATAGTATTTTTTCTTGTTTATCTATTTGCTTCCAAATATTAATAGCAGCTGCAAACTAAGGTTCTTCATCTGCTCACTTTGCAAAGTCAGTTGTGTTTTCTCTTGTTGAGTTTGAATTTAGACGCTGTAAATTTAGTGTAAATTTATACAAACCAAATTTATAATCATGAGTAGCACTAAATTTCGTTGTTAAAAATATATACCTGGGATAGGAAAGACCTAAGAAAATAGGACTGGAAATTGCAAAGTGAACGATGAAGGAAGTAGATCACCCCGTGATATTTAATGCTTCAATTCAGGGAATATATGATAGAATTGAATGTCGCGGGTTGACCTACGCCTATGCAAGCTATTTCAGTTTTCGTTTAATCATAGGTTTGTTAAAATAATCTATATATGCATCATGTGATACTGTAAGTAAACTAAAATTCTATATTTTCATTGTTTATACTGTTTTAATTGCAACAAGTTTTATTTTCAAACAGCATTGTTTTAAGCTGAGATTGTTTGTCGAATATATCTGTGTAATATACATTATGTTAATTGTTTTAATTTAAATCGTTCAGATCAAATGTCGTATGTTAACACGTACAATATTTTTTGAATCTCAATTATAAAACAGTAAAAAAAAGAGAAAAGGATAGTTATAAGATAGTTGAAAGATATAGGTCATTACTACAAAGATACTAGTTTCTCAAGTTCATAGGTGGTTTTTGTAATTTGTTTAAGTTAATAATTGTTATAACGTTTTGGTGCTGGTTAATTCACAATACGCTACTGTTATATTATTATTGCGAATGTTGATAAATATGCTTTAATCCATTTTACTAGCAGAAACAAGAAGTAAATACATGCAAGCTTTAAAAATATTGCTGACTGAAATTGTATTTTCAAATCCCGTCAGATGACACTTTAATGATAGCAGATATCAAGAAAAGAATCAGAACATCTTTAGTTCTTGCTTACCAGTTTTCAGCTGTTTGATGTTTTACTTTGGTCTGATAGTTCATACACTTACCTTGGGTATTTGGAGTTTATGCTTGAGTTCCTCGTGAATACAAATCTTGAGTTACAGGTGGAGCATGCAGGTATTGTGTGGGCGGCAGCTTATTAGAGGCACTTTTTGTATTGCGAAGCGTTGTTCAAGTGAGAATTTTGGAATATAATTGCTCATAGTATTATGCAGAAATTTTGAAATTCTAAAATTATGTTTTCTTGTATAGGATATACGATGGAGAGAAAATGTTTACAGTTTTGTCGGATTGCAAGGTTATATCTGTTGTTCTGAAGAATTTGATTTATTTATTTGTTTCGGAGAATTTTAATTTATTTTGTGAGGCTACTGAAATAGAATATTCATATAGATTCAGATGAATTTAAGACACAAAAAGATTAAGAACTGTAATGTAATATATTACCACGAGTTTCTTATCTTCTCTTTGTCAGTTAATAATTGGGTAATGTAATTAAAACATTTCAATAGTGCTTGTGGTAATAAGAACTATCGAAATTGTTTGGTATAAGTCAATCTAGTACATAACATTTTTGTGATTACATGATATCGTTTATTATATGGCATAAAAATTGATTAAATGTATTTCTCTTTTGTTTTGTTTTCAGGTGATAACATGGTTGTGCATCGTGACAGCGCAACCAACAATATTGAAACAGCTTTTAAATTTACAAAGGAAAATATGAAGCGTGTTGAAGCTCTTATTGCAAGATACCCACCTGAATATAAGGTAAATAGAAAGTCAGGGATCATTTTTTGTTAATTTGTGATTTTGTAGCTGATAGGTCTCAGATATTTTTGAGCACTGTTGGTTTTATTCGTATATAAAAGTGTCTAAAAATGTTTTTGCGATCAAATTAAATAGTGAAGTACTAGATGAATTCATCCGCAAAATCTCGTATTTTATCTCAAATGAAATTGATGCACTGAGGTGTGACATTTATTCACTAATATCTGTGCGTAGATCATAGGATGTTGTAAGTGGATTATACTTTGGATGTAGACTGTTGTTTTTACATAAGTTTTTAGTGTGGCGCATTGATTCCTATATTGGATCTGGCACAACGGCAGCATGGATGGTTACCTATTTCCGCGATGCATGAAGTTGCTCGTATTATTGGTAGGTCTTTTTAGAGAAAAATAGCAAATGTTCTTATTTTTACAAAAATAGATCAAGGGATTATCTTCCGAAACTTTTCTTGCGAAAAGTTTTTTTCTTTGCGAAATAAGATTACTGTATTAAATTATAGAAGAGTGACATTGTGTTGCAAAAAAAAAGAAAAAAACTGCATTGATTAATTAAGCTTATGGCAAGGTTAAAGTCAGCTGCAGAAAAAAAATGGATCTTGCATGGAGTATATTATTTATTGAACTTGGTATTATTCTCTAGGAGTTGCACGAATGCGAGTATATGAAGTGGCTACCTTTTATACTATGTTTAATCGGAAACCAGTGGGAAAAAATTTTGTGCAAGTTTGTGGAACAACTCCATGCATGCTTAGGGGTGCTGAGTCTATAATAGAAGCTGTTAGCAAGAAACTCGGTTTATCTTTCTTTTATTATTATTCCTGAAATATTAAATTATTATGTAATATGCATATTGGATGACTGTGTCGAAAATCAAATTTGAAGGCTGTACAAAAATATATTCTTCGAAAATTTTGAGATTGAAAACTATCTTGCTTTCAAATATATTTTTTAGAAGCTTGTTGATATCTGTTTGAAATTTGTGCAAGAAATGATTATATGGCATATTTTTATTTTGTTGACTGAAAATGTAGTATTTGAGGTATAAAAGTTGGGGAGACGACAGAAGATGGACTTTTTACGTTAACCGAAGTTGAATGTCTTGGTGCTTGTGTCAATGCACCAATGGCTCAGGTAATAGCTAATTTGAGACGCATGTTAGCGTGTTTAAGTTTATGTCACTGTATACTGCTTGATTGTAATTGTTATCTTCATTTGGTCTGCAATTAAATGGTTGAATGATGTAGATCATACTTGGATTAAATTTATCCTAATTCTTCTCCAGATAAATGATGATTACTACGAGGACTTAACTCCGAAGGATGTAAATGATATACTGGATGAATTAAAAGCAGGAAAACGACCGAAACCTGGTCCGAGAAGTGGTCGTTTAGCTGCCGAACCAATTAATGGGCTAACAACTCTTACAACGCAGCCGAAACCTCCTGGTTTTGGTTTTCAGTCAGGAATTTGATACATCTGACATAAACGCTATTTTTTTGAGTTCGTATTAGAATTATATATTTTGTACAGGATTAAGCTTCGCATCGAATTTGCTCTTGACGCCTTCTTTTGGTGTTTTTAAGTATTTTGAAATCTAATTAATAATAAATGTATGCAGTAATGAAAAGTATGTTTATATTACTTAGCTAAAATTCATTGCAAATTATTGTTTGTTTCCATATTTTTTCCCGAATTTCAGTTCACTCACTGAAAGTCTCATGAACATGTTTAAACTTAATTACATATTCACTGTAAGAAATGAAATTTGCTTCTTAATATTTTTCGTGCTGCGAGTGTCTTACTAAATTATTTCAATGATTTCTTGCTTCATTGGTTATGATGTATCCTTTTAGTGTAGATTTTTTGATAAAGATTTGTCGGTGTAAAAATTTCGACTTGTGCGTCTTTTTAGGAAATTTTCCTTTGGATCTATTTGATTCTACTAGGCGGATATCAAAGTTGTGAACCATAAAAGAAGTAAGCAGTAAGAATGTTTTTTTTCGTAAATGTATGTTGAAGACTGCATAAAAATAGCTAAATTGATTTATTAGAAGCAAGCATATAATGGATTCTTGCACAAAACGCTTTAAATTCTTCGTCAAGAAGCAGAGCATGTATTTGTGAAGGCGCGTAGTAACTCGGAACTTCGTCGAAAGTGGACGAGTAGTTGTCACGTGCTGACTGTTAACTGGTACAGTAGAAGTGTTGTTTGCAGGTAAAAAGTAGGTAGTTCCTGGTGTGTAGGGATCGTTGTATTCAGTAGGATAAGGAATTGTTACTGTATATTGCATTCTCTAAGTATGCAAGTGGATTAGTACTAGAAATATGCATAAATGATGTGAAAGTTTGCTGAATTTTGATCTTGCTTATCAAGAAAAGAACTGTAGCATTTTTATCTGGAGAACAGATTGTACGTACGTATGGCAAAATCCAATTATTATGAATTTGGCAAGATTCTTAATTATTTTTCTTTCTGGTGATTTTAGCAATTGAATGTTTGGACAGTAACGAGTTGTTGTCGATGAGGAGTGATTGACAATTCAATTGAAGTCCATGGGAAAGACATTTAGATTTTGATGTTGGTTTTTTATGATATTCTAGGAATGGAGGTAGTAACGATGTTGATGCGGAAATCCTTATATTTGATTACTTTTATGTTTTAAAGCAGCAACGAACACTAATTGGTCACGAAATGAAGTTATGTATACGGAAATCAGGATGGAAAGGCTGACTTAATAATTTATTTTGGGATTTAAACACTGCTTCTGTTTCTCAGTACGCTTTGATTCTAACGTCGAATAGTATTTCTTTTCTTTAATTTGCATTTGTTCTTTATCTCAAAAAAATTTTCTGAGAACTCCTCGAAGTGTCATACTCCTCTAAAAAATGACTGATTTTGCAGTGTGTTATCGATGATAATAAAACATTAATCATATCATTTACAGCTGCAGAATAGAGGCCTTGTTTGCATAAGCAGTGATATAAGTGATCAGCTGATAGTGTTAGTGTTAGTGCAGCTGCATCCAAAACTGTTGATATCAGTCAGTTAAGCAGATAATTATGTTCACGTTGGTTGTAACACGGATTATTACTGACATCAGTGATAACACTGAGATGGATGGTATTAGCTTGAATGAAGAAGTTAAGTGCTTCTTCAGTGCAACCAAACTAAACAATTGTCAGTTGAATAGTATGAACAAAGTGGAAAGCATTGCAAGGATACAATTCACGTAAATTTATTCGATTTCAGCATAATTTCAAGAAATAGTAAGAATGCAAAGAAAGTGTTTTTAACGTACTGCTAATATTGAAAGGAAGTGTAGAGTGAAGAAGCTGCGAAGGATACTTGCAAATATCGCACGGAACTCGCGAGTTCTGAACATGAAGAGAGAATCCTGAGTGTTACTTGTCAGTACTTACTCGTCTCAAGCAGTCTTAATCTGATCATCAAAAACTGGTAAATCGTTCAACTACTGCTCGCTGATTTCCATTGTTTCATTTTGTTTACTCTCACAATTATTATTATCAAGTTTACACTTGAATAATTTGTGTTCCTCTTCGCCGCGGGTCTTCTCCGTTCAAGCAATGCAGTGAACCACTCTCAATTTTTATCTCTTCGAAAGGAACAAAGAATCATCGAGAATAACATGACAAAGGATTTATTTATACGAGACTGCACAATGTACTACTCATATTTATACACAGTTTGGCAAAAATTTCTTACTAATTGCTTGCACATTTATTGAATTATTCATCCACTTATTTAATTACTTATTCAATTATTTTATTTATTTATTTATTTACTTACTTACTTACTTACTTATTTACTTACTTATTTGTTTATTCACTCATTCATTCATTGGTATCTTCAT